GGGCCGAAAACCTAAGAGGGGGGCGTATAGCTGTATTCCTTGTTAGAAAATATATCGTTTTTTTTCTTCAAATATTGTAATTTTAGAATTTTTATATAATAAATAATATTGCTATAATAATCTGATTTTAGTTTTGCGCTGAACATGTACCGCAAAATAAATTCAATACAAATATTATTCAATATTGTTTCTTTTTATATTGTTCTTATTTAAATTTTACTGTTTACTATTATAGTACTATACTATAATAGTGTCAAGTAGTAGTTTCAACTAAAATCGTAGTAACATAATTGCATTTAAATTTGATCAATTTTTCTATATTAAATATAATATTTCCAGCTAAATTATTGTTGAATCAACAGACCAATCAAAAGAATTTAAATTAAAGACACCAGCTATAAAAAAATAATTATCAATATAATTTAATGGTTAGAGTATATTTCAATGGTTACCGTATTCAAATTTGCAATTAAACTTTTTTATTGCTTTTAATTTTTGATATTACTACTAATTACATATAAAATTAAAATTAAAAAAAAAAACAAATTTGTTTTCAAATTATTACTGATTTTCATTTTTAATATTGTAACGTGTTTAGTGTTTANAAAAATTAAAAAAAAAAAACAAATTTGTTTTCAAATTATTATTGATTTTCATTTTTAATATGTTAAAAATAATCAGTGCAAATTCCATTTTTTATCTATTTTTTTGGTCCTTTAAAGTTGATTTTTGTGAAAGTTTATAATAAAAAAAAGTTTAATTTACTACCATAACTTTTAGCTCAACTTACAATTTTAAAATTAACATAAATTTTTCCAATTTTTAAGGGCTAAGTCTTTAACTAGATTCGATTTGTGATATTTTAGCATATTATTGAAAGAAATACTGAAACTTTTATATATATCTTTAATTAAAGCTTGAATAATATACCTAAATTTGAAAATAAAATTAACCTTTGGACTTGTCTTTTTAGTAAAAACGGACATTTAAATTTGAGAAAAAAGTATGATTTTTGTCTAAAAATTAAAAGACTTGAAAATTTTTTAACAAATGTTGAACAATAACTTATTAGAAGATGTTTATATAAAATTAGTGTAAATTGCAATTACATCAACTCCCTTAATTTTTTATTCGAAAATATTTATATTAACTTTAAACTACAATAATTTAAAAAAATATTTATTTAAAAACATTTTTTTTAAAATATTTTACGGTTTCTAAAGTCATTCAAAACAGGTTTGGTACACATTTTCTCTCATTCAATTAACATATTTAATATAGAATTTTCTTTGTGTACATTTTTTTTTCATTTCAATTTTATACTGTTATTATTTTTTAAAAAATGTACAACTAGGCAATTTTTTTTAATACTCTACAAGGGGATTACATTGATTTTCTTAAAAATTATATGTATTTAATTGAATTTAATTGAAATGACTTTATATTTTGAAATAGCTAAAATTGTACCTTTTAACTGCCAACAAATACGATGTACGATTGCCGCGTCTGTATCACTTATGTCTTCCACGCTTGGGGTACGAGGGTTGGACAAAATCAGCCTGTTACAGTAATTTTTTCAATATTGATTATTTATCTCATAAGTGTTTTTTATGGCAATTAAAACATCTTCTCCTCTATCTTTATTGTGTGTAACTCTCCACGCGTTATTAACACGCTTGTATTAGTTTCACATGTTTGTTTGTTTGTTGTGTGTAACTCTTCATTCGCCACGTGTTATTGTCCAGCGTACCCGTCGTCTATGGCCTTGAGACTAGACGGTCGTAACGCATTCACCCCACCCCGCTCACCACTCGCCGATAACAATATTTTTCTGTATAATTTTATATTTTTGGTTTTCGTACCCGTACACACGTGCGTGACATCAATTATATATATAAACAAATTTTTATTTTGACTGACCAATAATGTAATGCGCCTTACGTATATATATATTCCTACCGCCGCTGCTGCCGTTTATACCTTAGGTATAACGTCCCCCCCGCCCACAAAACAAGGCTATACCTAGTGCATGATATGTTTACGTACTTAAGTCGCTCTACCATGTACATATATATATTCTAATTATTATTAAAATATATATATTAACACGCTTTATCTCATTAAGAATTATAGCGTGTATTCATTCCGATTACAATGGATGATTCCCGTATCTTCATTTTTCGTCACTACCTCCATGTTCCGGGAGTGGGTAATTAACGCGCCTGCTGCTTTCTTTGGATGTAGTAGCCGTTTCTCAGACTCCCTCTCCGGAATCGAACCCTGATTTCTCGTTGCCCGTTACAACCATGATATTGATAGTAACTACTATCATAACATGAAACTAAAAAGTAAGAAATAAATATAGTTTAAAAAAACTATATTTATTCAATATAATTGATTCAATATAATTGATTCAATATAATAATTTATTATAATATAATATTTCTTTATAAGAAAGATAAGTGATTTTAACTCATCGTAAAGTGTGTTCAAGTAATTTTTTTAATAAGTTGTGCGGTCAGAGATGATAAAGACTCCAGACGAAAGATTTAATGACTGTAACTTCTATTTAGTTCTTAATATTTCAAACGTTACTATTGGTGTTGTTTAGATATAATAATATTGAGTCGGAGGAAAACAAGGTAATTAGAGCCTTATTTCTTAGATATCGGCTATAAAAAATATTGATAGCGCAGTTACAAGATGGCAAATGTGACCTTGTTTCCCCTTAAATACGCACATAGTTTGTACAATAATTAATAATATCCTAACTATAATTATTATGTTAAAATTATAGAAAAATTCAACAGGTTTTTATTCCAAGGACTATATAAAAAACCCAGCACAGGGGGGTCGCGGCACAGTGGTGACGTGGGATAGTTGGATCAAGTATAATAATATCTGACAGTGATTAAAATCACTATAAAAAAAAAACGCTTCCATGCAAATCTTTAGTGTTTAATTTTAAAAAATTGGTGGATTATTCCAAAAGCTATACGATCTGCTAGTTCATTATTAATATCTTGATTAAGATAAAGTATGTTGAATGAAAAAGGGATTATTAAAATATATTATTTCTCATAAAAAAATAATGTTGATCCATACACTTTTCAATATGTCATAGCATTATAAAGTTAAAAATGTAAAAAATAAAATCGAGAATTTTCACACAATAATAGCATTTGGTAGCCATTTTCACCGTGAAGATAAAATAAAGTCCGAAATTTTTTGTTTTCATGATAAAGTATATTGCATTAGCTTTAATTTAAGATATATATATAAGTGTAAAGACCTTCAATTTTTTGTGAAAAAGTTGTCATTTTAAATCCCCCCCTGTGGTGTGGTCAGGTAAAGGGTCAGATATAAAAAAAAAATATACCAAATGATAGGTAAAGACATCATTCATCTATAAAAAAAAGAATTATATTGATCCATACATCTTTCAAAAAGTTATAGCATTATAAAGTTAGAAATATAAAAAAGAATTTTTTTACAAAAATCGTATTTTTTTTATTAAGTTTGATGTCTGTTTTCACCATGAAGATAAAATAAAGTCCGCAATTTTTTTTTACCATTATAAAGTATATTACATTAACTTTAATTTAAGATATATATAAAAGTGTCAGACTTTCCGGAACACTTTCAAAAGTTCAGTTGAAAAAGTTCTGCTTTCTACATGCATTTTTTAGATTTGAATCCCTTTCAAATATAGGGATGTATATAAATACTACTTCTCATGAAAAAATTGTATTGATCCATACATTTTTCAAATAGTTATAGCATAATAAAATTAAAAATGTAAAATACAAAATCGAAAATTTTCACACAAAAATAGCATTCGGTAGCCATTTTCACCGTGAAGATAAAATAAAGTCCAAAATTTTTTGTTTTCATGATAATATTGCATTAGCTTTAATTTAAGATATATATATAAGTGTAAAGACCTTCCGGAACATTTTCAAAAATCAAGTTGAAAAAATTAATTTTTTGTGAAAAAGTTGTCATTTTAAATCCCCCCCTGTGGTCAGGTAAAGGGTCAGATATAAGAAAAAAATATACCAAATGAAAGGTAATGATATCATGCAACTATATAAAAAAAAATTATATTCATTCGGTTATTTTTAAAAAAGTTATAGCAATTTTAAGTAAAAAAAATTGAAAAAATTCGAAAATTAGCGATTTTTAAATTTGCAATTTTTTTGGAGGTTTCCCCTATTTACGGGGAACGAGGGAATATTTTTCAATTTTTGAGGGTAACGTCTTCGACTAGATACGATTTGTGATCTTTTGACGTATCATTAAAAGAAATCGGTTTGGTGAGAGCTGAGAAAAAGTGGTAACAGACACAAAAAAAAAACACATCTTAGTAAAACCAATACCTTCTCAGNAAAAAAAAAAAAAAAAAAAAAAAAAAAAAAAAAAAAAAAAAAAAAAAAAAAAAAAAAAAACATAATAGTACAATTAATACCTTCTCAGCTTCTCATCGAAGCTAAAAAGTCAATTTTTATAAGAAAGTTGGTTAGTGTGATTTGACTATGTTGTACATCATAGTGTTCATTGATAAGTCTCCATTTTTACAATAAACTCATAGATTTATACATCATACAAGATAAATGAGATTTTTCATAAACTGTACTGCCCTTATTATGTGTGTACAAACTGATATATTGATAGACGTGCTGAAATTTAAATATATTAAACATTCATTGATAAAATATACGAAATATATTGTAATAGGCACACACAGTCATATCCTTATAAAAACAACGCCGAGACATAAAAATATAAATAGCTTATAGATTGGTAATTTTGCATATAGAATATATATATGTTACAAAGTAATTAAATTTTGCAAAATTTACCTTGGTCATGCGGAAAATTGTTTAGCGGAATTATGATCGTATGCCCAAATGTGTACTATAATAATACATTTACTAAAAGTATAATATTATAATAATTATAAGTTTAATTTTTTTGTAATACTTATTGTATAATTATAGGGTGCTATAAGCTGTGCAATTGATTGGAATTTACTTGAACAACAATATAAATCCAATAAAACATATGAAAATGAAGTTGCAAATTTAGATGTCGATTTTGATAGCTTAAAAGTAAGTGTTGAAAAATTAATCTCGCATGTAAATATATCAAATATATGTAAACAATCATATTACTAATGGGGAATAATATTTGTCCAAGGCATGTTTAATTATTGTGAAAATGGTGTTATAGAGAGTAACTTTTTTAACAATAACCACTAATTCTTAACAAAATTTTAAGATATATTGGATCGCTAATATTAAGAGAATCATCCATTACTTAGATATCTATATATCTCTTTAAATCTGTTAATGATTACCTGATTGAATACCGCCCAATGGACTTACTCACGGCACTAGTTGAACTTGTGGAAATTAAATATTTACAGGTTTTATCATTTAATTTTTGTGAATAAATATGTTTTTTTTTAAGAATATTGATAAACATATTACTAGTGCTTATATTTAACATAGAAATCCAGGAAACATATGGATATTTTAGAAAAATAAACAATTTTTAATAATCGATATAAAATATCACGAAGATATTCTCTACTATATTCTCTTGTCAAAAGCCCAACACTTTGAACCATACATCATAGCAGGTCTCATTACAGTATTTTAGAACTTACCTTTGATTATCATTATAATTCTCTTATCGCATAACACTCCAGACGCTTCTTTTCACTTCACCTACCAGCACCTAATTTTGTATTTTACATCCTCTCTAATCAGGGACTAGATCGGATTTAAAAAACGGATTTTTAAAATTTCTTAGAACTTCTTCTTCTTCTTTTTCTTCCTCGTTTTAATCCCAACTACTTGGGGTTGGCCACTTTTATCCTAAACTTCCACTTAACACGATCTCCCACATCATCTACGCTCACATCAGCTGTCCTCAAATCGCATTGAATAACATTCCTCCATCTCTTTTTTGCCCTTCCTCTATCTCTTCTCCCTTCAACATTAATTTCTATAACTGTTCTTACAGCTTCCGATTCTTCTCTCTTCATAACATGACCAAACTATTTAAGTCTATTTTCTCTCATCTTATCCATGATTCATGCTACACCTATACTCCCTCTTATATTCTCATTTCTTATCTTATCTTCTCTATTCACTCCACTCATCCATATAAGCATTCTCGTCACTGCTACACTCATTCTCTGCTCTACTTTCTTATCAACCGTCCTACACTCTGAACCATACATCATAGCTGGCCTTATTACAGTCTTGTAGAATTTACCTTTCAGTCTCATTGGAATTCTTTTATCGCATAAAACGCCAGACGCTTCTCTCCACTTCAACCACCCACACTTAATTCTATGTCTTACATCCTCGTCAATACCACCACTCTTTTGTACAACTGACCCTAAATACTTAAAACTCTTCCACCTTTACAATCACGTCCTCACCTATTGTTACTGACCTCCTCATTTCACCTACCTCGTGTTTTGTTTTGTCAAACTCGTACTCTATATACTCTATCTTACTTCTACTTATTCTTAAACCCTTTTCTTCAAGAGCTTATCTCTACACCTCTAGCCTTTGATTAATTTCCTCCCTATTTTCTCCTATTAACACTAAATCGTCAGCAAACAACATGCACCACGACACCTCTCCTTGTATTTCTCTAGTAATTTCATCCATCACTATAGAGAATAAGTAAGGGCTTAAAGTAGAACCTTGGTGCACTCCTACTCTTACCCGAAAACCTTCTGATACTCCTTCGCTTTTTACCTTGGTACATATCTTCTATTATATTAATGTACCTTTTCGGGACTTCTTTTCTCATTAATGCCCACTTTAAAACCTCTCTCGGTACTCTGTCATACGCTTTCTCCAAATCTATAAATACCATACACATACCATACGCTTTTTCTTCTTTTCCCTAAATTTTTCTATTAGATGCCTCACACAGAATACTGGCTCCATTGTTGACTTACCAGGTATAAATCCAAACTGGTTTTTAGATACCGATGTCTCATTTCCTATTCTCTTATCTATTACATTTTACCAAATTTTCATACTATGACTCGTTAGCTTTATGCCTCTAAAATTTCCACACTCCTATATGTCACCTTTACCTTTAAATATCGGCACCACAATACTATTTCTCTATTCATTTGGTATTTTCCCTTCTAATAAGATTTTATTTAAAAGTTCCTACTCTCTTATCTTTGCAAGTCTATAGATTTCTTTCTCGCCTTCCTTTGTTTCTATCCTATCATACAACTCATCATACCTCTTAAACTTCGCCTTACTTACTGAACACTTGGCTTCTTTGCACAAGCGTTTATACTCCATTTTCTCCTTTTGCTCTTCTGCCATACTTTGAATTGCTTTTTCTTACTTTCTATAATTTTTTAACGTCCTCATCCCACCACAAAGTTTCCTTGTTTCCTGGCATTCTACTCCTACTCTCATCAACAATCTCTTACAGTATTCTTTACATAACTAGCAAATCTATTCCACACATCAATTTTACCTCTCTTTTACCGTCTTCACAAACTTTCATTTTCCCCTTTCAATTTCCACCACTGGATCTTAGATTTTTCCCCCGTGTTTCTTCTATTTTTGTTTATTCTCTTCCCAGTACACCACAACTCCATTACCATCAGGCTTTATTGTATAGATACTCTCGCCTGGTATAACTTCACAATCTTTTACTCGCTTTACGCTCTCTCTCTTCCACATAAAATAATCGATCTGTGATCTATTCCTCCCACTCTTATATGTAATATAATGATCTTCTCTCTTTCTAAAATAAGTATCACAGCAAGATCATACGATACTGCGAAATCCAGTGCCGCAGAAGGGTTAAAATTTAATAAATAGGGGTAAAAATTAGTTTTTTTACGTATAATTTGTTAAATTTTACTTGAATCAAAAAAATTTACTGAATAAAATTTGTTTAAAAATGTATTTCCTACAGAATATTTTATATTATTTTTACTCTATATTGCATATTTAATTGAATAATCAATAAAACACATAAATACGCCGATTTTTCTCGATTCTAATTTTTTGCGTAATTTAGTCTTTATTAGCGTAATCGACAATTTTTTACAAAATCTATATAAATTATAAAATTTAGATTTTAAAATTATGTAAAAATATGGTTTAGTAAAATTTTTTCTAAATCTAAGTCTCTCCTGTGAATATGTACATTCTAAAGCGCAAAAGTGGTTTAAAAATCAATCACTAACAATTTGTTTTTAATCTGGTTTGGGAATTTTTTTACATCAAGCTGTTTGTATAAAGTGTGGACTTTGCTCTGTCATCATATAACGAACTAAAGAATTCGTTTAAATCGTTGCGATTATTTCGATAACACTATTTTACTGTTATTGTGATATCTCTTATACAATTTTATTGCTATTGCTATTTTTAGTTTTAGTTATAAATCTGTTATAGTTTTTTTATTTTGTAATTTTTTTAATAATGAACACCAGATCAAGGGACAAAATTTACTTAATTAATTATGATGAAAATCAAATTGTCGGATAAAAATTGCCATCAAATATTCAAGTATTAAGGGTACTTTTTTACAGTATGAGGAAAGTAAAATTACAGTTGCGAACCAGTGCTCATTTGGTTATTAAAGAAATTGAAGTATTCTGGAAAAAAGCAATAATACCAGTCACAAAATTTCAAAATAGCATAGACAAATTGGAGTCACTGTATTCAGAATGGAGAAATTTGAACAAAAGCTCTAAAAGGACATCAATGAACCACGAAAATACGTAAAAGAATTTCATTGGAAAATTTAACGAATTGTTCGATATTTCACATGCAAATGCCATTGAAATGATGACTATTGAAGAAGATAAATTATTTTTGATGTGTCAACAAGATAAGAAAAGAAAAGATTGCATGGTTAGTTCAGATTATAACTTATACTTACAGGAAAAACATGAACTAACACAAAAAAGTTTGAAAGAGCAAAGAAATTTGAAACTTCAAAAATCTCAATTTATGTCCAATAAGTATTTTATTATTAATATTTTTTAGTTCATAAATTAAATAACAACAAGTGTTTTTTTAGCTTCGATGCGAATCTGAGAAGGTATTAATTTTACCATGATGTGTTTATTTATTTATTTATTTTTTGTGTCTGTCACTACTTTTTCTCAGCTCTCACTTTCTTTTAACAATACGTGAAAAGATCACAAATCGTATCTAGTCGAAGACATTACCCTTAAAAATTGAAAAATTTTTCCTCGTTCCCTACAAATGGTGGAAATATCCAAAAAAATTACAAATTTAAAAATCAGTAAATTTTGTCATTTTTTTCACTTTTTTTTCTTAAAACTTCTATAACTTTTTCAAAAATCAACAAATCGACATAATTTTTTTTTATACTAAACTCTTAGATATTTCCCTTTCATTAGATATCAGTTTTTTGAAAATCTAACATTTAACCTTCTTATTGGGGGGGATTTAAAATAGCAACTTTTTTACAAAAACTAACTTTTTCAACTTAATTTTTGAAAATGTTCCGGAAATACTGCGTCCTTTAAAGATATATCAAATTAAAGCTTATTTTATGTACTATAAAATTTAAAAAATATTTGTCCCGACGACCTATTTTCTATGCGCAAATGGCTACCGTATTCAAAAATATGCTATTTTTCTATTAAAATTCTAGGTTTTGTATTTTATTTTGTTTTAAAATATCTTATTAGGAGAATATAATGACTTTCATGAATGTTATATAATTTAATTGACATAGAAATAAGTTCATAAGATATAAGAAATTATACTTATTAAATTTTTTTTACTTTTTTAAAGTTGAAAAAGTAATTCTTAAATTTGAGTTAGCTTAAATAGCCAATGTTTCAGCTTCGATGCGAATTTTTTATATGTAAATACTAATTTTTAATAATATTAAAACTTAGAAGTGATAGAAAAAGTCTAATTGCAGATTTGAAAACATCGCGAAAAGTTCATTTAGAATGGTAAATTTTTGTTACTGATGAAAGTTCCTTGTAGTTAGTTCAGTGCATTTATTTATAGTAACAAAGAGTTTTTATTGAAATTTATTGTATCGAGTCCTTTAAATTTTTTTA